CATTCTGACGCCATAGGTGTCTCAAGTTAGCAAACGTGGCCCGAGCCTTGCAGATTCGTGCATTCACCTCATCTGTCACACTACAATCAGAACCAATACAACTTCCAATATACGCAAAACGCTCCACAACTTCCAGTGGCTCACCATGGATTTTAAGTGGCACACTTGGTGACTGCATGTCCAGCAGCATGACCTCATATTTTGTGGTTGCAAAGTGCATACCAAAAGACAGGATGTCTTTGGTCAGTTCATCCAAGAATACTTGCGCCTTCTCCTGTTCTTCGAAGACGAGAACGATGTCATCTGCATATTCCAGATCGACAAGGTTTTCTTCACTGGCTATTTGAACACCAGGGTTTTGGAGACCCTCCAGCGTTCGTCTCATTATTTCATCGATCACAAAGTTAAAAAGGAATGGAGAGAGTGGGCATCCCTGACGGACACCGCTTTGTGTACGGAAGCTTTTGGAGAGCTCTCCGTACACTCTCACACGTCCGGAAGTCTGAGAATACAAAGAACGCATTGTTTACAAACTTCCGGGGCATTCCTTGGAGGGAAGGCGTTTCAAGAACAGATCGGTCAACCGAATCAAGATCACCTTGGAAATCCAGGAACACTAGAATCGTGGGTCGCTTATACATATGGCGTTGTCCAAGCACCTGACGAAGTGCGAAGATTTGGCCTACACAAACCTTATCAGGCCGGAATCCCGCATGCTGCTCTCTATTCAGTATCTCACGAGCCTCCGTAAGGCGACGAAACACGTGACGCCAACAGTCTCATTATGTCCGGAAAGAAGTTGAACCCGTGTGATTACCAAGTTCACTGCAAACCCGTTTTTTGAAAATGGACATTATCACGGACTCTCCCCAGTTGCCTGGGACAGACTCCCTTTCCCAAATGCAAGCAAACAGATCACACAATCGCTGACTGTGGACTTCACCCCCGTCTTTGAACAATGCAGGTGGGATGTCATCCGGACCGGAGACTCGGTGGCGCTTAAGAGAACATATACAGTCATATACCCCCAAGGCCCTAGGTACGTCCACGTTCACCGTCCAGGGTTCTACATCACTTGTGGGTTCCAGATAGAGGGCCAGCGGGTGATCATGACAATCGTTGTTCGAAGTATTCGGCCAAACGGTCGAGGCGATCTTGTTTATTCGAGATTGTCACTCCCTATCCTTGATGGTTTAACTCACAGGTGGTTTCCCAGGCCCCGTCGCATGGAACAACTGAAATAATCTTCAGGTATTCCCGGCTTTCTGGGCCTCTTCCATGTCCACAGCTTTCTGTGTCCACCACACTTCACGGTCGGCTAGCACACTCATTTTCACTTGACGTCTGATAATTCGTCGCATCAACTTATGTTCCGGGCCGGCTGGGATATTTGTCCGAGATCTAAGCAGGCCACCGTTCGGTTTGATATCCAGTGGTTGAGTGCGCCTAGTGGTGCCGTGCCAGAGGCGAAATTCCCAGTACTATGCAAGGAGGTGGCAATCTCGTCCCAGTATGAGTTCACATCTGATGGTGGAGCATTTGAAAGAGACTCTCGAAGACAATTCTGGTAAATTCTTCTGATATCCAGATCTGCCAGTCTCTCTCAACTGCCAGGCGATTTGTCCGAATCCTATGCGAATCCGGAAGGGTGCGTGGTCGGAATCAACAAATGTGTTCCAAAGCGACCGGCAGTCAGTTGCTGATACACGCCATCTGTAACTGATGGCGATGTGGTCAATTTGAGTTTGTGGCCGGCCTACCGTTGGAGGGTACCATGTGGCCAGACAACTTCGGCTACTTCGGAAGTTAGTACTGCATAAAAACAGCCTGCGATCAGCATACTGCTGGAGCAATCGTTCCCCATTGTCCGTACGTATCGATTCCAATCCATATCGACCTCCTAATTGAGTCTGCGATACGCTAAGCCTTCTGACTGGTGCATTCAGATCTCTGGCAACCACCGCGACATCTGAGCTTGTAGGTCGCCGAAACAGGGCATTCAAGGCTTCGTAAAACCTGTCTATCGGGGTGCCGGAGCATTCAAGTCAGCTGAGGCGTAAGCAAACACGATATACAGACACTGATGAATTTCCCGCTTGCGAGGCCCCTTCACAGACGTTGCCAGAGGAACCATCATCATCATCATCGTCATCAAGGACAGAAACATCAGTGTTGCCATTGATGCTTCACTGCCGTACATATATATATA